ACAGTCCTTGAGTACCAACTCTTAACTTTGTACTTCTCAGATATAAGCTTGTCTTGTTTATCCAGTCAGTTTTTACCCTTTTTCACTGACTCATTTTCAGTTGACATGAAATTTATATTTTGGGAGTAAAAATAGCACAGTAATTACACATATTTTGCCATTAGTGAGCATACCCAAAGACACACTAATGGGGATGGATGAGGGGATCAACTTGCATCCTTGCAGATATGGTTCACATGTTCATTTTTTGATTTGTATTTAAAGGGTAATAGGCCAATCAAGCAGTACTGGACGTATAAAGTACACCTTTGTTTTGCAGTGTGGACTTTAATGCTAAACAGAAGAGGAGTGAATTAAAATAAACTCACCAGATTTTATCTGTGTGCACTACAACATAAGAGAGCCACAATTATTTAGAACAGACACAACAGAGACAGACACACACAGGTGGATTAAGGGGGTTTGTTTTCATTCCTCATGGGGACTTTATTGGGGATTTACCCTAACCTGGGTTAGGTTGAGCTAAGGTAACTACTATTTACCTTATCCCACACCTTATCCTAACCTTAAATCAGTTTGTCATTCTAAAATGCAGAGACTTACATGGTGCAGACCAGTGTGGAAGGCTAAATCTCCACAATGTGAGAGTGTAAGCACATTTCAGGCAGACATGCACACACATACTTGTTTTTGTTACTTTGGGAGTCTTTACATTGACTTAAATTAATTTCCTGGAGATTTACCCAAACCTTATTTATAATCATTTCTTGCCTAATCCAAATTCTTACCCTTACCGTAATATAACCTTAAATTAATTTGTCTCCCTAAAATTCCAATGATTTACTTCGTGGGGACCAGCAGCCAAGGAAGGGGAGTCCCCACGGTGTTAGTGCGCTCATGGCTTTGGGTCCCCAAAAGTACAGAAAAAAAAAATAGGGTCACACATCCACCCGCCCACCCTCCCCTTAATGTCAGTCACAGGACCTTGGCAGAGATGGACCATAAAAAATTTAACTTTAATGCATTCTTCTTTGTTTTAACATTAACATGAGTGCTGGTGTACTGTAAGAACTAAATCAACGCAAAATAAGACAAGGGCTTATTATCTGTTAACCCTCAGCTTTGTCCCATAGCCTCCCTCCACAAGCCCAAGCACCACTGCAGCACTCTACACATAACTGAGCATCTCCCTGAGCCCACTGATGGGCTTCAGTTAATGTCGTAGGTTATCATATCATGAATTAATCAGCTGAGCATGTTCTGCAGTTTATGACTTATTTGGCAGACTTACAGTTTGCCAGCGGAGGCCGGTGGCGGGGCCTTGCGAGCAGTGAAGATCACAATGATGAAGGCTGCGATAAGGAAAAGAGCCAGGGCTGCGCCCATCACAGCTCCGACCACAGCGATGGAGTTTGACCTCTCTGCTCGAGACTGGTCTGAGACAGAGAGACTTTTAGTGTATGACAGAAAATAATATTAACATGACAGGTACAAGTAAATGTAATAAAGCATACTTTTTAGCTACAGTATTATGCCAATGTATCCATGTGTTAATTTAAAGTGTTTAGGACACAGCGGAACCCACAGGTCCAGTTCAGCTTGTGCCCCTGAGAGGCAAGGAGAATAACAGCATCAGCAGCTTACACCTGCAGGTGTCGACATGTCACCATTTGCAGGAAAGGAAAAGACATTTGCACTAACATCAGGCAAACAGGTGTTACAGCTGGAGCTTTTTTGTCTGTTTTTGGGAGGGTGTGTATATTTGTGAAGACTGATGCTACACATTTTAAAATGGCAATATGTAAGAGTTTTGTTAACTGGAGCACCTTTTGTACCAAAGAGTACAAACTAGGTGTCATCACGTGTCCCCTGTCCTCAAGGAATGTCCTGCTTCCTCTGAAGAAGAAAGGATGGCGACTCTAACCAGGCTTGACAAGGCCGACTAGAAAAAAACAAGGGGCTCTGCTGAAAAAGAATCATAAAAGCTTCTGAACATTTGAACTATGGATTTGGGTTTGTATTGAAACCATTTGTGCATCTGTTGCTAGCAACATGGAAGACAACTGACAAATATGCCTGATAAGCAAGTACCTGGAAAATCTGTTTTCTGTTAAGGCTGTAAAAATATGCAAAGAAGCAAATACAAGTGTCACATTCTTATATGGTACATTAAATATTATACTGTATATTAAAATGGAGCTCAGTGTGACAAATTGATCTCTAATGGTAAATCGCAAAGAGACACAGTAGCTATAAAAATCATTATTGTTTTAGTGTTTTCATGCAAGTAGGAGAAATATGGACAAGTACACATTTCTGCAGGTTTTAATCATGGTTTTACAGTAACTGCTACAATTATTTGCCTTCTTTATAGGTGGAGCAAAACAATGTGTGTAAAATAGGGCTCTTACTGAACAGCTGATAAATATCTGCCACACAATAATCAGTCGACTGCAAGTTGTGTGAGGTCTCTTTTTTATGAGACACACTTCAGATGTTTGCTGATGTTATTAGGTTAGTATACGTTTTCCAAAGTACTCTGTGAATGTTTGAATGATGTTTACAATATGGGCAAGAACAATGCAAATGTTTATTAATTAAAATAGATTGTTTGTTCATAACTAACTTAAATGAAGATGTGACCATACTTGGAAGTCTTACATTTCGAAGCTCACTAATCATTTGCTTTACATCATCACCTCTAACCACCTCTATTGTCTAATTTCTTTGTTTTGTGTGTGTGGAGTTTTCAATGCTTTTGTAACGGCTGTTGAATTAGCTTTGTTAGACCATATGCTCCCATACGCTCCATGCTGTCCCCTGAGGGGATTAGGATTAATCATGGTTAAGATGCATTAAACTCACAGAACAAGTTTTGACCAATTAGCAGTAGTGGTTTAAACTGTGACTGTGGGACACTGAAGGAACTGGAGGACAAAAGGTGAAGGTAGGAAAAAAGGCAAAGTGTGTAATGGTCAATTTCAGTTGATTTAGCTGCTGAGGTGAGAAAAAAAAATCAATAATGTGCTGAGATGAGAATCCTAAATAACAGTTCAATTACAATGCAGATTGGACATGCTGGGACTTCTGAGCTCGCCCCTGAAGGACTCTTCTTCCTCCTCTCCCCCTTCACGCTGTCCTCTAACAGTTAATAGCAGTTCGATTACCCCTGATAGCTGCTGAACTAAGACAAGAGTCTCTTGAGTTGATCAAAATGCCTTTAAAAATGTACTTCATCAAGCTGCCTGCTCAAATGCCTGGCAACAGACATTTCCTCAGTCACTCATAATGTGACAAGAAATTAAAAACTGCTTTAATTCCATTATGCATGGAGCACCATCAGGAGCTCGTGAGGTTTAGTCACACAGGAGTATGACTTGACATGTTCACAATATGAACATCTTGTGAATGGACAAACCTGAGGTATGCAGCGTGGAAAAATACATTATTAATCATGAACATGCTTTTTAGAGCCATTTAGCTAAAAATATTTTTGGAGGAGTATATGCATAAATATATTTATGGATGCTGTTTGCACATTTTTCACTCCTTAGAAGATTTAATTGGTTAAAATACCATCCATTCTGGAGGGGATAGGATTAATGGTGGATTGACTGTCCCCACACTGGGATCTGGCTCCAGTCTCATCCACTTCAGCATTTTATCCCTCACACAATTCAGCACTGTGAAGCAAGACAAGTGCATCAGCATGCCCTCCCCCAACCCTAAAACCTCAACAAGAGAGTCAAGGGTCATACTATTGCCCAAATAACAGCCCCAGAGGGAGCAGGTGCTGGTGCTGGTGCATTAGTACAGGGGGGAGGAAAGTTAGAACAGTATGTGTTGTCATTTTGTCTTTCAACTATTTCAATATTATCAGCTCTGACAATGACAGTTTGATCCCACGTCTGCTGGGGAGTTCATATCAAAGTGTTGCTTTTACACGCACATCAGTGTTGCATCCCTCAACACTGCCTGAGATGCTCACTCCTTTGTGAGTTGTGAAAAGTATCCTTGGAAACTGTTGTGTCGCAGGCAAAAAGCAAATCCACTGATCTTCACAAGTGTCTCAAACAAACTGAAGCATTGCTGGCTGACATCATTATTGCTACTGAGCTGCACCACAGTGTATATTCAGGATGAGCACACCCTGTTTCAAGGTCAGAATGACGACAGCTAAAGTGACCACAATATGAGCTGTAGAAGACAGAGAAGTCAGCTGAAATAGAGGCTTTCAGGGGAAATGTGCCCGTGATGAGGACCTGGGGTCCAAGCTTAAAAATGTCAAGGTCACATCAGCATTCTATGTCCTTATAGTCAGAGGAGCTCTCTGTAGTGAAGTAGGGCGTAATAGGACATTTTTATTTTCAGGAGCTAATTCTCTCTTTCTGCTCTCGCCTCAGTTAACCTCTCAGTTCTACGCAGCCCTCTACATCCCTCGCGCTCTGTTTTCTGCGCCCAGGTAGAGCCTGTAGGAAGACGGTCTCCAACAGCAGCTCCAGATGAGCTTGTTGCCATGGGGACAGTCAATGGGCTGGAGAGTGGGGTCTTTGAGCCAGACATAAACACTCTGTGCTTAATTTTACCAGCTGGTAGACGGGGGTGGGGCTTTCTGTCCTGAATCAAAGCTAACTAGGGCTGACAAAGAGGGCAGAAAGAGCAGAGGTGGTGCTGGATCTTCCCCCAACTCTAAAAGCACCACTGGAGAGAGGAGCAGCTTGATATTACAGAGCTTTATTTAATGAAATGGCAAAAGCAATAAATTAACCTTAAAGCATTTTTGAATAAAGCCAACAAAAACTAAAGGTGAAATCAGGAAACATGATTTTGAATTACATCATGTGTGGCATCCCACATGTGCGTAGTGGATTTGGGGGTGGGGGTATGCAGCATTATGCGTGAGGGAGCTAGAGATGATGTCATTTCTCGAAGCACAAAGAGGCTGAGACTGAGCAGCCTGAATGAAGGCAAGCTCAAAAACCTCCAGAGAATAACTCACAGGTGCTAAAGTGCTTTATTGAACAGAAGTATCTCAAAAAGATTAACAAAATAATGCTCCACTGTTGTCACTGACAAGTATTTGTTTGTTTCTTCCAGAAACTTACATTTTCTTTATATACAAAACTGAACATGACCACAAGGTGCATTTCACTGACAATGTGAGACTGAAGAGAAATCTTCAGAAGCAACAGTGATTTCACAAGGGGGGGGAATCTGACAAGTACCTTTTAAGTAGATTAACAACACAATCTTTTTGTGTGTTTTAATGCCTTTAAAGTTTGAAAGTATGGCGTCATTAACCTTCACGGTGACATGGGCAGAAAGGTGAATATGGCACTACAGAGTTCTCCTAACACAGTATGCAGAAAAGAATTTAAACAATAAAAAAGGTAAAAAATAAATCTCAGAGCAATAAGTCTATAAGCAAACAATAATAAGAAAAACACGTGTCTTCTTTTAGCTCTCTAAGGCACTAGTTGTATGTCTCAACCCAAGGTGAAAGACTTTTCTCAAGGTAAAGATAACTGAGGAGTGATGTCTAAAAATGTCACACAAAAGAAAATTCATTAGGGCCAAACTAACGAGTCGATCAAAAATAGTTCATTGATTAGTGGAACTTCTGTCTTAGTGCATAGAAGCAAGCAAAGGAAGGGGGTTTAGGCCGCTGTGCTTCCTGATGTTTTCTGCATTTATACAAAAGTGACTAGAAATGCACAATGAGGAGGGGGTCAGCAGCTGAAGCACCCCCAACAAACATTACTTTTAATTCAACTAATTCAAAATGAGGTTAGTGGTTCACAAAGTACCAGGTACACTTCACTCCAATTAAAGGGCCAGTTCACCCAAATTGCACCATTTTCTCACCTGCTTGTAGTGGTATACGACAATGCCGATAGCTTTGGATTTATTGATCCAGGTTTTGAGATGTCTTGCAACACCTCTTTACAAATATATTGTCCTGGATACATTGTAGAGGATTCATGGGAACTACATCCTACCGAAGAAATCATCCATATGGAAACTTTCAACAGTATGTTCTGTAGATTATGAAGGAGTGTTTTAGGCTAAGAGATACTGTAGCAGAAATCTCAAAATCTGGGTAGATTAAATCAAACCTGTCTCTATACCAGTAGTGCTAAGTGAGAAACTGTGTTAATGGGAATAGAGTGAACTGAAGCATAAGGTAGTTATCGGAATGATAAGCTTGGAATCCACGGAAGTAAACGAGTCCTGGTATACTGCAGTCAACATATTGCAGTGTAGGGGTCATATTGTCTACTTGCATGTTACAGTGGCACATTATTAAATCTGCAGCCTATTCACGTCACAAAAGTCATACCCTGACAAAAATCTATAATTTGACGGTTTATAACAATACAACTAATTCCCATTTTGATCACCGTTGCTGTGATATCAAAGTGGCTTAAAGCATCTTTTTATTTCTATTCCAGGCTACAAGACACTGTGTATAACGTGTGATGTTTTCATCTATATAAGCTAGTAATCACTTGCTACCTAGTAGTAATACTTACATTACACAAATCATATTTATACATAGTTTCAACAAATATTTGGCATCTGGCAGTGAATATTGTAACCATACTAAAGTTGGCATGTATTCAAAAACACTATTGTACATGAAGAAATCATTTGATCTCCTCTATGCAGTCAGGTAAACAGGACCCACAATATTTAATAGGTGTGCACCTGATCACATATCAAAAATGAAACTTAGCTTTGTCTATATTTGACCCCCAAACTATTGGTGCTCCATAGACCAATGACACTGATTGGTAAAACACTTTCTCCCGTCAGTTCAATCACAACTCCTAGTATGTCCTGTAATCTTTAAGCCTCTAGAACATCTTACAAATGAATGCAGACTTAGTAATAGTAAGTCTAACCTGAAACCCAGTCAAGTGAAGGATAATGAGTGATCTAATGATCAGTGCAACATAGTACCGTTTGTCCCTTCTGGTGAGTAAGCTGGGTGCTGTGGATAAAGAGCCGAGTCCAGCTTCTGCTAACCTCAGGTGACAGTCTCAGCACATCTATCACTAAAGACCTGATTTGTCTACATAATGTATACTTTACTGTGACACTAAAGGTAAGAATAATAAAACTCTTGAGGTAATTTTGATTAGTGTTTGCTGTTGTACACATGGATAAGCCACAATAAGCCTATTAATGCCTCAGATTGCAAGTGCATCTTGTTGCTACAGATTACTCATAGCAGTGAAATTAGAACATGGGTTGCTATTTGTAGTGGAGTGTACTGGCTCCACTCAAAGGATTTCTTTGTGTGAGAAAATACTTTGTGACGAGGAGGCCAGCGCATGGTGGCTGCCATACTGTAGCCTGCTGACTGAGCTCTTGAATTTCCAAGAGCCCTGGTTTGGTGCCAGAGTGCAAATTCCCAAACACACGCATTACCACACGATAAACAACACGACTAACAGAAAATTACAACTACTTTGAAACTCTTCTCAACAATCAATAAATCACAAATGTTCAAAAGGTTCAGTCCAACTTGTTTAAATTCAGCTCAACTGTATGACAAACCAAGTCTTACTGCGGACTGTGCCTTATTCAAGCAGGCCTCCCTGCCTTCCCTCTCTCCACTGCTCCCTCCTGGGGATAAAGACGAGGACATAGGGTAGAAGTGCGGTACTGTGGTGATTCCTACTCTAGTTTAAAAAGGACACTGCCAGGACATCAGTAGTCAAGTCTCCCATTATGGTAATTTACATAGAGGTTAAATGTTTAGTAGAAAACAAATGATCTGAAGATCGACCTGCCCATTATCAAGTATTACCAAATATAGTGCAATGACTGTCTTTGACCAATCACTGAGTGTTCTTGGTTTCTCAGGGAGAAAAATCTTTTTTAAATTTGCCTATAAAGCCTCTGTTGTGATCTACTGAGTACTAACATGGCCTGTGACCATCTGAATTTGATTTACAGTCACTGGTCCTGTACCATTCTTGAATGTCAGCCAATCATATTCAGAGGTCTTTTAAACTAATTAGTGTAGGCAACAGCAACACATACAGTACAAATAAAGTGTCACATAGCCTAAGAAGGCAGATTTTGAAAAAACAAAACCAAAAAAAAAAAAAACCTTATTAGAAAACCATATGTGAACTCAGCTTCCGCACAACTAAGAGACATTAGTAACACTAAATCAATTGGCTGCCCATAAGGCAGAGACAGCACATGCATTGTGATCTTTTGTTAGTCTCTACACACACACACAAACTACTGACATGTCCACTCTGTAGGGATATAGATGTTGACTGTCAAAGTGGCTGTGCAGGCCACATCGAGAACAGAAACCTAGCAAGTGTCAGCCAGGACACTTGAGCAAAACAAGAGAATTACTGAACTGAGATTAGTAGGAATGTGCATATCTGTACAAAGATAAATAACGTTTGTTCTGAATTTTAGTAAATGAAACCCTCTGATTTCTGTTGTCGTTTTGCTCCTTCAGTACCAGGTAGCTAGTCAAACGTACCACTCCCTACGTGAGATGACTGAGCCGTCTGTGTGAGAGACATAGTCGCCATCGGGACCACTATCATAGCAGCCATCTGACAGGTAGGGGGAGCCCTTGCCCTGTGGTTTAGGTGAATGAGGGTATCTTGCAGACCTGGCCTGCTGTGGACTAGAATACTGTGTGTGTTCACGATTGTCATTCTGATGATGGCTATTGTGACTGCTCTCCCTCATTGCCCTAGTGTAGCCATTACAGGGATACTCCTCTCCATTATAGCTGCCATGGAAACGGCGGTCACGCTCATGTTTGAGCTGGTGGTCACCCCACTCCTCTCGGTCATGGTCCCGATGGTAGGCGCTGCTGCCAGATTTGGTAGGGTGGAGCTCATGCTGCGTGGGGGCTTTCTGTAGGTCATTGGGTCCCAGGTAGTGCTTGGTGTAGTAGTTCCCATGGAAGGACTGCTGTTTCCGTAGGTAACACACACCAACCACAGACAGCAACAGTAGCAGGAACAAGGCCCCACCCACAGCTCCACCCACAATGGAACCAAGATTACTCTCCGGTAGGGCTTCGAGTGTGGGGGAGCTGAGAAGAACATGGCCCTTATCATCCACTAAGGTGGAGGAGGCAGAACCAGTTAGGAGAGGAGAAGTAATGGTGGAAGGCAGGGTGGGAGGATCTAATGAAGGGGAAAAGGGTGACAGGGAGTAGAGGGTAAAGGGGAGAGATGAACAGACAGAAGCAGAGAATGTCAATGCCAACTACATCAGCATTTTGCTAAGAAGGGATAAGATAAAAACATTTACTAAAATACCACACATACTACACTATGGTACATAGGTTTTCACTGCCAATCGTTCAGAGCTGGAATGCACAGTCTATGATTGGTAAGTAAAACAAAGTCTAGAATTTGGGAGTGGACAAAATAGCTATGTTAGACTATGGACAAATGAGAAAGATTCTCATGAGGCAGCAGCACTAAATCTTTACAAGACAGAACCAATTAATAAAAGACCTCTGAATATGATTGGCTGACATTCATTTAATGAAAAGAATAAAACCATTTGCAAACATTCATGCCAAGTCACAGTATTGATTCTACATGAAGAGACCAATGACCAGGTTTGTGTTACCAATTTGTGGAATAGTTCATTCCCAAATTATTTAGTAAATTGCATGAGAATATGTATTTAAAACCCTATTTTGCAAGTAAGATGAAGCACTGTCACTATTTTACTATGCCATTATTAGAAAACCAACCTTAAAATGAACTGCATTAGGGGTGATGCAGACAAAACAAAAAAGCCAAAGGCCATAAACAGAAGGAGTTGAAGTAATGGAAAGAATCTGAGTCTAAAAGCTTTAATGATGCTGTAAAATTACTCAACCACTCTAACCTCAGTGCGTGGCTAGATGTTTGAGCAATGAGAAATATGAACCTGAAGTTTTCTTTTTAAGTCTCCAAGTATTTGAACTGTCCCAATCCATGCAGAAGACAGTGAAATGACATATGAACACACCCACACAACCAGTGGAACATTAACATGTGTAAGCTTGTGCACACCCGTACAGACCCCCTCAAAGGAAAATGAAATATGGACAATAAATAATAAATAGGAGTTGAAAAGAACAGCTTAATGTTTTATGAATCTGGGACATCTCACAGTCAGACTGCAGGCTTTTGCCTCTTACTGCATGACATGTGCAGAAATCAAAAGAAACAGAAAGGAAGCGAGAGAGATGTAAAAGAAAATCAAATCATAATCAGAACTTCATTCAGGATGAGAACCTCCACAGACAGGACAGATTTGATGAAACCAGAGGAACACGTTTATTCGTACCACACAAAAAGGAGACTACACACTTTGGATACCAAGCCTGTTGTCTGAAGAGGTCTCATATTTACAGCCGTTTGGCCCAGTAAGTCTCCTTTTGAACATCTTGAGACCTGATGTTAATGTTACGACTAAAGCCAAGTGTGTCAGTGCAAACAACACTAACCATGGATGACTGGTACAATGTAGGCCTATAGAATGGGTGAAAGTAATACAGTGTCACATTTCAGCTTTCAGGACAATGTCCTAGGCAATGACACCTGCCATGATGAGCTTCATAAGGTTAGGAAAAGGCAATAGGAGTCAGCTGTGTATACTCCACTCACCTTGTATGAGAATGCGCACATCCCGACTGCGGAGGTTGATGATGTTGGCAACTTCACACCTGTAAACTCCAGAGTCATTTCGCTGGAGGGGCCGCAGGAAGAGCAAAGTGCTGTTGATTATTTCCACCCCTTCTGGCATTTCACTGTCCAATCTGAGATACAAATATTTAGACATACAACAAATATATTTAATCTTGCACTTGATACTTTATATAAAACATAAATTGTATATGATAATGTAAAACTGTGATCTGACAGTCAAGCTAAAATTCTGGCGCTGACTTTCTATTTAGCTTTCAGTAGCCTGTACAAACTCAGATACACACACCTGATCCACCTAAAGTGATGAGCTGGTGGGTTTGCATTGGCTTTGCACGTCATTTGAACGTTTTCCCGACCCATGTACCAGTCTCCATCATAGCCCACAACGGAGATATCAGGAGCAACTAGAGCCACAATCAAAACAAAAACAAAAAAAGAAAAATGTAAGAAATCACTACAACCTAACCAGAAACCAGCTGCACAGACTGACCAATAGTTCTGTGTCAACCACAGCCTTCTACCTCTCAAAGCAATTCGTTTGTTGTAGTTTGTTTTAGCTGTGGCAGAGCTCGAAAATGCATGAAATCCTTTGTATTTGCTGTGTGTCACAAAACAAAGTCAGTCCAAATGCATCCGTCAGATATTCAAGGACATTTTACCCCCTTTCACCAGTTTATTTGTAGCTCTTACAAAAGTGAGCGAATTGTGCCCCAAAAGTGTAGATATGTATTCTAACATCTGTGGGGGCTTCCTGACAGAAAACATTTTCACTTGTGACACTGTAGGGACACACGGCCATGCACTGACATTAAAAAAATAAATAAATAAGACAAAAAGAAGTCTTTGGAAAAAGTCAAGGGAAACACCGAGGACAGCTTTTCACAAATCATGACTGTATGGAATCTGCACGGATAGTCCTTGATTTCATCTGTCAATTCAACAGTTAATAAAGCGAATTACTGCTGACGTGCTCTAGATAAATCAGGTGTCAACACCGACAAGGCATCATCAACTGATTGACAATAAAAATCTTTAGTTTCCCTAAACTTTTTTACACAGGTTTTAGCAGAAGGTACAAGAAGACCGTCTTAAACGTAAAGAAAAAGAACAAGGAAAATGTCAATAACTGTCTCCTGACAGCGAGGCTTGGGCCTCAAACCTCCACTGCAGCATTTAATCTATCCACTTGAGGACTGCATGTTTAATCTGATTTGATGAGTCAAATAAAACTATCACTTTTTAAATAGAATCTTCAAAAATGTTTCATCCCTAAACATTCATTAGTAGTGACCATTTCACCGATGTGTCAAAAAACACCAAATGAAAGCCTCACAGCAGGACAGAAAAGTTTGATTTCAGCTGGTTATATGCAAGCCCACATAGACACTCATAAGACACCAACACTGCACATTGAGCTGGTATGGGATCCTGAAGTCACTTTGCAGAGCTGGGTGGCGGACCACGCAGGTGAGCGTGTGGCCTTGGACGTGCCGCGTGGGCTGCCAGAGGTAGCGCACTTGTGTGCTGGTGGTACCATTGGCTTCATCAAATAGCTGCACGTCTGACTGGCCAAAAAGGTTGGACTCCCAGGACACTTCAGCAGGGGGCCGGGCACGCTCAGCAATACAGGTGGCCACCGCAGTTTCATTGCCACCATCAATTAGAGCAGTTGAACCCGCAGACACATAGACCTTTGGCTCCACTGCAATTCAGAGAGGAGGGAGAAACACATTCAAATGTCAAAACCCTTCAGATGATATTTAAATGAGTTTCTGCATCTACAGTCTTTACATTTCTGTTTTATCAATACCAGTTTTCTATTCCTATATCTTTCATTGATTTATTCTGCCTTTGTCATTCTTGTCCAAACCATCACTAGCAGTCTTTGCGATCTTCTCTGTGAAAATAGTGAGTACATGCACAGTGTTTGAGCCAGCAATGCCAAACTGTGACCCAAGCAAACACAAAAATGACAGTCCCTTTAGCAAAACTGAAAACACAGGACTAGAAACTGCTACTGCTCCCAAAGTGATTGACAGGTCCTTAACACAAGGATCAGTACTAGACACAGACCAAATCAATGTTTTCTGATGCTGTAAAACTCACTGCTATCACTCTGGAAAATGTACACATATGTGATGATGCAAGGGGTGGACATAGTATCAAGAACACCTGGGCAGTATAACCTAAGAGGCTCAGGTAGGCACACTGGAAGCCACAAAGGAGGTCAGGCTATAGACACAGGCAGAGCAACAATTAAATATTACCGTATACTGATCAAAACTGGAGACTTTGTGCACACAGGAGCATGTATGAATAAACATACTCACCAAGTACACTGACAGTAGTGGAGGCTTGAGTGTTTCCCAGAGGAAATGTGGCAACCTTACAGGTATACATCCCGACATCAGCAAAACCCACATTTTTCAGTATGATGGTGGCATCGTGAGAGGATGGGGAGCGAAAAGACAAGCGCTGGCCAAACTCCGGAGGGATGGAGATGCCAAACTGAGGGTTGTAGACAGCCACTGTGACGGAGCCTGAAGGTAGACGGCGCTCCCAGGAACTTTGAGTGAGAGTAAGGTTTGCGCCCACCTCCACCCTGCACTCCAATGTGACATTCTTCCCCAGCACAGCGCTCACCCTCTGAGGCACTACAACCTGATTACCCCATACACCTGCCAAAAAGACATGGGGGAGGGGGGGACAACAAAAAAAAAAGTTCAGTGTTTCTTCTAGAAATTTTTTTTTTTTGAGTGGTGCTACTGTGCATGCACCCACTATGGCTGGAGCCAAATATTTGACCAATTAGATATTCATTGTGTAGTCATTGTGTAGATAATTGGTTTTCAGTTTTAATATGTGAATATTTGAGACAGCAGGATCATACAGAATGGCGCCACCCACTGCCTCCGCCACCACACAGCAGTGCCAGTGACATCTACAATCTTGTTAGCAAAGCTCAATGTGGAAATTGTCCAGGTAGCAGCTTCTGCTGATCGTTGCCGTTTCTCGTTAAAATGACAACCAGTGGGGTCATACCAGCAGCCACTAAGTAATATCAACTCTGACTTGAACTGATGACAGGACAAAATGAAACCCGTCATTGTCAGGTTTATGACCTAGATGCAGCTGGTGGTGAAACAAACATGCTGTTTGTCGTTAGCTGAAGATCGTTTGAGATAAATAAGCATCACTCTAACACCGCTGAATAATTTGTGTGTCCCAAAGTGCTACCAGATGGGCAAAGCAGCACTTTTAGCTGCAACACAATCTCAGCCAATAATGGAGATGCAAGTGTCCCCCCGCGAAGTATATTTGGGTACTTACAGATCATTACTACTGAAGCTCCAAAATTGCGATTTGGAACAGCCCTAGCATCCATAAGCGCACAACACTGGACCTGTATTTACATGCATCAGTGGTGGGATCTTTATTTGACGTTTCATATGGGATATATTTTTTCCTTTTATTTGAACAATAATCCTTGGTCAGAGGTAGCTTGCTCTGTGGTTACATGTTTTTTCCCTTCATAGTAATGTTGAATGATGACTTCTTATTAATGCAGAATCTTACACCTGCCCCACATAATATTTTCCAATTGAAAATGTATGGAAAGTATTAGCACAGACAAGCCAGCAACTGATATCACGTGTGGGGGGTGGGAACAAACAAAAAAAAAAAAAAGAAGAAAAGCATCAACAAGTATTTATGGCGTTATGTCCAATTGCTGCTATTAAGACTATTTCATTTCTGTTCATTAAGATCTGACACCTAGAGGTATCCCACTAGAATCAAAGCTTGATATCACCACAGTCGCTGTTGTGCTCTTCAACAAATAATACACAGCTGACTGTGTGATGGAGTGATCAATCCGTTTTGTCTCTACAGCATTTCTTCCACTGACCTGAATTCAGGAATTATTTCTTTGCTCTTTGTCCAAATATAACTAACCCATGCACTCTTGTCAAAAATGTGGCAGGTCATGAAAGCACAAGCTTAACAACACCATGAAGAAAAGTCACAGCTACGAGAAGAAAACCGAGTGCGACTGGAAGGGAGGGGGTGGGGGTATGCTAACAAGATGATGACATCATCTCAAAGAAGAGAAAGAAAGCTGAGTGAGGAGAGGCAAGAGCAAAGTCGTGTAAGAAACAAGTGAGAGAAAATGTATCCTCAGGATTCCAGCAAAACAATATTAAACAGGAAATTATGTTACTGACTTAGAAAAGAAAATATAATCACTGCTTGAGTCTTCAACAAGATCACTAATTGCAACAAGCTGACAGGAGGAAGAAATCATCATGGATCAAATCCTGCTGCGCCTGCTTGGGCACTGACTCCAAATATTCTTTGTTATTTTGCCAAGAACAGCTCAGTTTCTGGCCAGTCTCCCTGGAAAAGGCTAGATCCTCAAACATTAGCACTGTAGCAGGGAATTTCCCCTAACCCTAAAGTATGAAGCACAAGTGTCTGTGTTTTTTTTTTTTTTTTTTTTGTTTTGTTTTTGTTGTTGTTATGGACTGTGTATTGTCCTCAATTAACAATGCTTCTAGTTTTCACCAGTGTTAGATTAGTTATTAGGGCTTCCACATAATGACATCACATAAAGACAAATACTAAAATGTATTCATCCACTTGTGAAACATAATTAACACAGCAAAACATTTCTACAAAGAAAAATCTAAAGTTCTAGCACAATGTCTAACTGTGGACATTCTCTCTGGATAGCAAATGGTACTTTTTGGGAGAGCAGGTATGAGTCATCATGTTGTTCATACAGAGGAAGGACAGCAGATCTCAGTGAAACAGTGTGGATGTGTTCAGCTGTGGATGCACTATACTGTACCTCACTTTGTGACATTAAGGGCAATGCATTGGTTTCAATTTCACAATGAAATGTGGATGCACACACAGAGATTATGCTATACACAGTTGGGTAAATAGCCTAAAATTAACTGATAAAACTCAGCATTGAATTTAATGCAGAGTAACCCTCAACCTTAAGGAACACGCTCACATCGCATTTTTCTAAAAACAAAACAAAAAAAAACTGGTCTATCTCTACTGTAATCACTGATTCATACTGGGCGAGTCCTTGTTCCATGCACAAATGCATTCCAAAATTTAGCTGAAGCTAATGCCAGGTCCGCATTAGCGAACATCTCCCACAGTATTCTTGGTATAAAATTCAGACTCTGTGCTAACATTCCTCAGCAAAGAGGAAATTTTGCACTTAAAAGACCGACTTTGGATGATACCTACTTGATGACCAACACTGCTGAAGCCTAATGTTAGCAGAGTGTTTTTACACAGAAGGGATGACTGTTTAGGTACACCACTATTAAAGGTGGTGTGGTACTGGGATATGTTCTATTCAGAAGTGTTCCCAATATTCTGACCCTATGTAGCCTGGGGAGGACAAAAACATAGACACTTCTTAATATAATGTAGTGCAGTACAACACCACCTTTAACTATGACCTCAATATAATTGAATTTACACATTTATGACAATTTCACCAAAAACTGAAACATTTAGAACCTCATAAACACAAATGTTAAGGCAGAAGTGATCGAATGAACACTTGAGTGAATGAGAATGTGTATATAACTAACTGAAAACAGCTGAAAACTTAAATACTGCACACGACATTAAAGATGGAGGGGAAAAAAAATAAAACAATGCTGGACTTGAATATGAATAAAATATGTTAGAAATGTTTAATGATTAATCAAAACTAATACATAAGGCCACAAAGATGTGATGCATATTATGAATAGATTACACTGTAAGAGGGTCAAAAGAAACCCTTTTTAACTACACTACACTAAAAAGCCCACATAGGTGTTTGTTATTTAGAACTTGATTACTTTAACCAAACAGATGACCATCAGGGCAGCCCTTCCACAAACACATGCCACACAACTTAAAATCACCAGGTTAGAACTCAGTAGTGTTTGCCCATTTTTAGCTATGAGAGACAAACACAACTGATGGTTTTAATGAGTCACCAGTTGAAGAGCCATGCTAAATGTTATGGAGGCTTTCCTATTCAATTACTTCCTGTTCACAGCTTCCTCCAAGGAGGGCTGAAGCTGCTCTGAATATAAAAGGGATATACAAACAGATGTGGGATTAAGTCAGCTGATCACGTATTGTGCATGTCAGCACACATGCTCCATGGCTATGGTCACTCCTTTAAAAAATAAAAAATTTAAATAAGCCACACAAGTAGAAGCATGGATGTGGTAAAGATTCTAACTTTTTAAATGAAGGTACAACGCATACCATTTGCCCTTCTACTCAAGAAAAAAGGAGGTTTGTATAAGATGTGCAAAATGACATCAATCCTATTGTGCAGTCTACTCTAGGGGAACCTTTTTCTCAGGCAGGTATAATGGTAAGTCATGATGGCAAGAATAACAACACAGCTGAGAGTAAAAGGAAGAATTCTTCCTGCACTGAATATGCAATGGAAGAGGTACAGCGACTGTATTAAGTTTTTATTATGACTCAACAACAACCTTACATAAGCGTGCCCTCGTTTTCTCCAACTCAGAATAAAGTAGTGATGGGAATATGAGCAAAGTCAGCCTGATCTTATATGCAGCCTATCCTGACATAGCACTAACAATGTGTTCTCCTTTCTTGTACCAAAAGAATACCTTTTAAGTTCTTGCCATCTGTAAAACACTTTCAGTTTGCTTTGCAAATGCAACACAATGTGCCTCATTCACACACAGTAGAAAAGAGAGATATCCTGGCATCAAGGACACTTGTCTCCCCGGGGACACTGCTGCTCATTCCCACTTTAGTCAATATTACCTTCACATTCACCACTTATGTGGCAGCAAGTGTATTAATATGTGTGTCATGCCAGAGGGCAGTGTGTCTTGTTAAAAGTGGAAATCAGAACATAAATGGTGATGTGTTACAGGGCTCCACACTAACACTTCATACTGGTGGCACTGGTGCCACCAAGTCTATTAGATGGTGGCACCAGCTCCATTTCGCAATGTAATGCAAAAGCAAACTATTTTAAATACTCTTACCACCTAACATGCAAAGGATGTATTTAGAAAGCTCAAAGTGACACCAGGACCCTGATGCCTCACAAGAGATTCAAGTGAAAAGTTTCCAATACATAAACAGGCCAACAGGTTATCTACCTGATTTAAGCAGCTGTCTGTGGCGATTAAACTTAATGCACCAAAGGGAAAAAAATAGACCCACAGTGCAAAAAAGGGGTCCAGGGGTGACACGTTCGGGAGACAACGTGGATCAACACATTTGATAGAGTGGAAGCCTCTGCTTCATGAGATGAGTAAGTGACAGTCCTGCAGGTAAATACGGCAATGACAGTATCACAAAGATTATGACATCTGTCCACCAGTTCTACAGTGAGAGCATTCGTTTGTCCATAACCGGTTTGTTTTGCAGTTGCACCTAGTGCAACCTTAGAAGAAAATAATAATAATAATAAAAATCACACCTTACATAAATTTGGTCACAAAATTCAACTGATCACTTGCAGTCTGGAACCCTGTGTTAGGGTGCAAGTGGCAGAGCCAACTGTGCAGTCGAGCAGGGGACGAACTGTTGATCATATTTGACCTTTAAAACTAATTTTTGCACCGAGATGATTCAAGCATATTCTTAAGGTGGCTTGGTCATTGGGGAGTCAGTTTGGAACCATTCATTTAATTAACCTTTTTTAAATAATTCAGTTTGTTGTGAGAAGCACCTGTCATTCTGTATATTAAACAATAGGAATTTCACACCCTCAATGTACAGTGTGGAGTTTTGTAGTAATGTTTGGCTTAGCAATAGCAAGTCTTATTTGCTTCTTATGACCTACAGTCTCTTCAGAAAGCATTGAGCCCCTTTCGACTTATGTGCACTTTTCAAATGGATAGAATTTCCCCTATCAATCCACATATAATAGCAATAATGACAAAATGAAAACTTATTTTGACATTTCCGCAAATTCATTAAATATAAAAATATTCCCTTTTTCTAAATGGCTGAATTGGAGTCGTTTTCATTCATGTCTAGAACAGACTCCAAATGAATGTTCATATCTGCTGGATGCGAACGCAGGCATTGGTGTACTAACATGTTAGTCATACCAACTTTAGAAGGTGGAGATGTGGCACAGGTCTGTATCTGAGCTCATCTGGATGTTTCTCTGCCCCCTTGTGGCCAGTAATATGATTAATGTAGCTTTAATGAAACAGTTTGTGGCTAAAACATTGCATCTTAAGAAAGCAGTGCTTGTTCCCCTTTAAGGCCAAGACATTATTAGCTATGAGGGTGTGTACATCTACTCTGCATTCAACAAAAGCTCAAGGTCAAACCCCTCATTGACATGTGCAGCAGAGTTAAACTGAAGCTAGACAAATGGGCACCTGTCTCTGCTCCTTGACATAAACTCTCAGAAGGATGTACACACTGTTTAGGAATGAACTTAGAGATTCTGGTAATAACATGACAGAGTATGCAGTACAGTACATTAATAGTATGAAATAGGATCTCTGGGTCATTTTGTTTGTTCCTCAAATCAAGTCTTAAATAATAGGGTTATGTTTTTGTCTCTGAGCTATGTCCTAGTACAGTAGTCCAGAGAGCATTTATATATATTACATACATGTAAGCTTTATGGCTAAAATACAGCCATATAAGTTAGAAAACTGTTCAGATAAACATGGTTTTCTCAAAAGTGTCTTAGTAACGAGAAAGAGAAACCCTGTTGCAATGCAACACAATCCATTAGTACAATCATGCAACAAATTATGAAAGTTGAGTTGCTGAGCGAGGAGCTGAGTCTAATCTACAGTGATTCATGGAAGCAGCTTACAGTGGCGTGGCAACGAAGTGTATTACACTGAATTATGTTCAGTCAGCATATTCATTTCCAACCCTCACATATGGTAAAGGAAAAAGCATGAGGAAGAATCAAATGATCTGACTTGATTCACTCAGTTCAGTGAGGACTACACATGGCTGCAAAGGTGGGACACCTAACTACTGGTTACATTTGTAGAATTTCTTTTTTTTATGTACTTAATTCAGGACGTTTTAGCCTGGTTTTCTTAATAAAGGTTTGTCATGATATGTTTAATTAAGAAGTTTCTTAATAACTGATCTTGATTATTAACTTCTGACTTTTTATGGAGTGAATAGCCGACTAAAAACCTGCCTGTATGCAACACATCAAATCCTATATCCTAATATTTACCCAGGCTTTTAAAAATAAAGTGCTAACCTGGCAGTAGATATGAAGCCAGGCCAGTTTCAAGACGTAGTGGGAACTAAACTGCAGTACACTTACTTTTGAGTTTTTAACACAGCAACACCACGGCACTGGGCACAAAGTTAGCGTGTATCGGGTGGAGTTGGTCAATTTACCACCGCTTGATAAAACCACAGTGAGCTCCACCGTGTCTCCCGCGTGGTTGTTGACTCTCGCATCGAACTGGGAGGTGCTGACTTGTGGCATTGTCTACTAACGCCGAGCTGCTCAACATTTTGGAAAAGCAACTAGCGTGACATAGCATAGCATCAGCTTACTTTAATAGAAAATGTTTCTGGAGCTAATATGGCTGCCAGTGAATCTGCAATGACCCAAGTGTAGGTTGGGTAACGGTATATATTATTGGATATCCACCTCGACGGTTTCTATGGACTGTTTCTATGGCAGCCTCGGGGCGCACCCTCACCCGCGGGGGGGGGGCCGGGGCTCTCCGAAGCGTTCAAGTGAACTTGTAACCAAGTTTCCTTATTCTGGAAAACGACACCTGCTAAACTTGCAACTTTAAATCACCCTCGGTTAAAGCCCGTGGTGGCAGCCAGTTTAGTGCACTCGTTCACTGAGATTTCTGCTGTCAGTCCGCTCCCTCTCAAAACTTCTGTGCAACGTTGGCCGAACACATAAAAACTACTAGGAATAATTCAAGACTCACCTGTGATACTGCACAAAAGGTAAAATAATGCGACCCTGCCCTGCAGTCCGAGATAAATCTGGCGAGAAGACGGTGACATTTCCAAAAGCAACGCAGACTCCTGCTACAGGACCCAAGCGTAGACCGTATGCCGATTTAGCGGTATGTGCTCGACGGAGGAGCCTCCTCAGCAACAACTCAAACTGCATGTGGACTGTACCATTTAGGCGGCACGAGCGGGGAGGCCGGAGCTCACCTGACATGGGAAGTAGACGATCATTTGTTGATGGTCCACAGTGACATCCCCTTGGAGGAAGGATCCATTAGTATACACATTACGTCACCTCTGTTGATAACCCGACGTATATTGA